AATAGGAGGTTCTTATTTTATATTCTAGCTTGTCAATATCAGTAATTTGAGTTGCTAATTCATATGAAACTATAGACTTAGTATTTTGACTTCACAAACATCTAATTTGAACCAGTGCTGCATTCAACATACCACGTGACAAAAAAAAATCAATGTTTATCAGTGTTTTTTAATATTTACTATAAAATTAACAAATTGAGTAATGTATAGTTCTGAAATTTGAATTATAATCTACAGTTTGGTACCAAACTCACTGACATAAATTCATGAAATAGTAGTTCAATAAAATTTTCAATTTGAGTCAACAAATGAGATGACATGGCCTTTCACCTGTGACCCATATCAAAAGGGTTAAAAGGTTGGTCCAAATTAACGTGTCTGTGTACAGAGAGATAATCATACCAAAACCTTCAGAACAGAATTGGTGCTTTGAACCAATGCAGTTTCTCTGAAGCTATAATTCTGAATTTACTGAGTGTTTCCCCACAAAATTTGGTAGGCTTTTAGTAAACATTACATGTATGTTGTACACAAAAAAAAATCACAATCTATAAGAAAGTAGTTTTACCAAAGATCTGTCTTTGAATTGACAGATTCAGTCTAACTCAGATTCTGAAGCCCCTCTGTGGCACAGTGGTATGTCTGCAAACTTACAATGCTAGAAATCGGGTTTCGATACCCCTGGTGGACAGCGTACAGAAAGCTCTTTGTGTAGCTTTGTGCTTAACTACAAACAAACAGATTTTGACTAGTCTGTGTGCAAGATGATTTTTGTATTAGGAATAAAAGTACTTCCTTTTCATCTTACAGTTTTCACATTTCATTTTCATAACCTCTAGAACCTTCTAAATAAATATCAAAAGGATTTTTTTGAGTAAAACTTTATATTTTATCTACCCTGATATTAACTCTAGTGAAATCAGCAATGAAGGATAAAAATATGAAGTTGAAAAATATGAAATCAGTCTAAATTGCTGTTTTTTCTAGAATGACCATATTGTAAGGGACAATTACACACTGTTCCTGTGGCTAAAGCCAGTAGACTTTGTAAATTTGGATTAAATTAGTTTTATTGCTTTACAGCTGCACTTGGACCCTCTCAGTGTAAGGCAAAAGCCATTCATCACAGCTGGATAGCTTTGTGTAAACATGTGATCAAGTTACAAACACAATACAAATTAATTGCAAACATGCCTTACTTACAAAAGTGTGCTGATATATAGACTCTTATTAGAAATTATTTAATATTTTTCATTAAAATGTTTTATCTAATAAGTTTCTAATTTTTACATTTTAGCTACCTGTATAACAATAAATAATATATATATATATATATATAAAACACTTTGGACTTTCCCTTTTTGTTCTTGGCAGACAGATCTCTGTAGACCTACTTTTTTTGTAATGATGTTGATGGTCCAAAATATTTTCAATGTTTATTTCAAATATGAAAGTTATAACACAAAACATTATCACACCAAAAATGTACAAAGTTCTAAAACTATTATAATTTAACTGGCCTTATAAATAAGCTATAAATATGTTTAAAAAAATTTTGTTAGCTACTCTTA